ATAGGGGAAGGTCAATTAGGATGTATATGCTACGCCACAATAGGTATACCAATATTTCTTTTATGCTTAGCAAATATAAGTGGTGTACTTGGTGAAATGTTCCGTTTTCTTTATGCTAAAGTCTTATGCATGCCATGCTTATTTGTAAGAAATCGTCGTAGATTAGCAAGTAAGGTTGACCTTGAAGAAGAAAATGGAATAAGTACAAATCATGCACCTACAAATGATGAAACATTAGATGATGATATTATGAAAAATTCATTAAAAATTTCATCAAATAGAATAGTAATTGATGATGAATTAGATGGAGAAGAAAAACGAAAATATCAACGTGTTGCTGTACCATTAACAGTTACAATGATTATTATTGCAGCATATATATGGATTGGTTCTGCTTTATTTCATAATTTTGAAGGTTGGTCGATGACTCAAGCAGGATATTTTTGTTTTATTACATTGGGTAAGGAAATTTTCAATTATATAAAAACTAAAAAAAAAATCAAAAATTGAACTCCGTTCATTTTGTTTTAGCAACGATTGGATTTGGTGATTTTGTAAGTAGATAGGAAATTTTTTTCTTTGAATTTTCTTTTTAAAGAAACAAAAAGAAAAATATTAATTTAGGTTCCCGGTCAACGAAAAGATGATGCAAATGCAAGTGCAAAACTGATTCTTGGAGCTATATATGCTCTATTTGGAATGGCTATTTTAGCAATGTGTTTTGATTTAATGCAAGAAGAAATAGTAGCAAAATTTCGTTGGATTGGTACAAAACTTTGTATTATTGAAAAAGATGATGAAGATAATAATCAAAATGATAAAGTATCCAGTACTGATAATAAAAATCGTTTATCGACATCATCAATCAATGATTCTAATGTAATGATAAATACAAATCGTACAATAATTGATAATGAAAATGAAAATGGTTTATCCAGACAACGTAATTCAAGTGCAACACGTAAAATTAGTCCACGGAATAATTCAGCTCGTATTCATCCAATTGAACCTAGCGGAGTAAATGAAGCAACTCTTTATCAACGTGTAGCTGCTACAAAATTCAATTAACTTTTCTTTTTTTTTAACTTGTACACATAACAAAACACATATATGTATATATTAGATCTTACTTGAATCTATTCTATGTGAAATAAATCATCATATGATTTCAATTGTAACATTAGTATATTGTTTCATTCTAATATATAAAAGTTCAATATCTTGAGTTAGAGATTATCGGTCATGCTGATTGTCTAGATTATAGAGCATATCGTATTGCCTAGAAAGCATATAGCTATTTTAATTGATACAGGGTGTGGGTGTTATTTAAAAAATATTGATCTTCACACCCACACCCACACCCTAAACGTTGTGAACGAAGAAAAAACATTAGCTTATTCATTTTAGTGTGTTTTTGTTTTAAAATATAACAATTGTGTCAACAATATCTCTTAAATCAGCTTCAGATATTGAACGTGGTATAGCATTGTTAAATAGAATAACGAATTCATTGTGTTCACAATTTATTCTCCATAGTCATCATATTATAATAAATAAATAGATAGATTGCTTTTAATAAGCTTTTGTTCTTTTTCTCAAACTAATTCATTTTGAAAGTTCCAACAATGTCTTTTAGAGGCAACCGAACATGCAACACACTCCAAGTCAAATTCAACTCTGACTTTCATTCATATCCACAGCTCTTGATAAGAGATGGTTGAAATCTCCAGAATGTATCAGCGTATACAACAAATATCAGAGAACAATCCTTACTTTTGATAAAAGTTCATATGTTAAAATTGAATTTACGACAAAAAATTGAGTTGACTCTATGCGAGGTTACAATTATCGTCCTCTCCATTAATTGTAGCTTTTTGATATACCATATCGTCTTTCATCTTGAACATCGTTGTTGGATCTCCTGACTTTTCCAGTGGAAATTTTTTTTGTCCTGTGCTTGATATACGTAAACCTCTAGATGTATCCACATCACATGACTTTCTTACTCAAGATATTCAAGAACAAAATAAAAAAACAGAATTAAATTGAATTAAAAAAAAGAATTCTCTGGTGCCCACTTCTTTTTACTTATAGATATTACAAAAGTAACATTAGTCGTTGATCAGTTTTCGTTCTGCTTTTGAATGCAGTTAGAATCGATGCATGAATTGTATCAATTAGGTTCTCATGATTTTGTTTATTAAATTGATGTCTGATAACAAAGAAATATTCTTCATAACTCTGTTAAATAAAAATATAGAGATAACATCCTTGTTATGTACTTATTATTCACATCGAAAATTTCGTCTCTCAAAAAAAAAAGAATTAGGGTACAGATAGTTTGATTAATAGTCAAATTTGAATTATTTATCGTTTGGAAACGAAAAATTTAAGCTGAATCTAGCATACAAATACCAACTGTAGACTTATTCAAGATATTTTTCAATTCTTTAATGAAATTAGTGCAGTTGTAAATCAACAGCACGTCAAATGATGACTGCATATCATCTGACTAATCCATGCAAGATATAATTTATTCATACAACTTCATGAAGAAGATTTTGGAAGACTGCATGAAGCTGTAGAACTTTGATACTAATGTTAGATAAAATTAACAATCAAGAAAAGTCGTCTTTTTTATCGATAAAGATGCTTTTCTTTTCGATAGCTTATCAGTAAACAAAAAATGAAAACGTTAAATACTTTGAATATTTTTTTATATGAAAAAAATTACATGAACTAAAACTCTGAAGAATGTACTCTAATAGTGTAAACAAAATGTATAAATCATTTGAACGATTTAAGAGATATTCACCTTGTTTTTACGGCACAACTTTGGAACACCATTTTCTATAAACATGAAAGATTTTTGTACAGGCATGTCAAAACTATAACAAACATAATTTTAAAACATCAACGTACTCTGCTAGGTCTTCAATTTTGAAAAAAAACATTGACGCATGAACTGAAATAACATGCATCCATTGAAGTTTTCGATAAACAATTATGTTAATGGTCAAACAAGGATTAAAAACTAACTTTATCTGTAAATTTTCTTGATCGAATATTGTCCTTCTGAGCATTTCATCATCGCTTTTCATTTCTTACGATTGTTATTCATATGATGCATAACCGTTGCAAACTTCATATTTCGAAACACATGAGCATAGAAATCCAGATTTATTCTTATGATTATGTAAATCTCATTGATATCTACATACAATTAAAATACCACATGCACGAGACATTGTCTTGGTACTAGCCTGGAATCGAAATTCTTAGCTAGATTTTTCATTGCATTGTATAATGGATTTCATTCAAGATTCCCTAAAGAAATCTGTTTTCCTCATTTGCGCACTATTCTTGTTCTTCAAATGAAGTATCATTTATGGTTACATTAAGAATCGATTATGAATTTGTTTGAGAATTGACTTCTCATAGAGCGATTGAGATTATTGTGTTTTTCTTTCGGTATGAACAAGTATTGAAAGTTGTGAAGATTATGTAATTATAAAGACAGATAAAACCAATGCAAGATTGGATATATTAAAGTTCAACATAATTAGAAGAAAAAACAAGACTAAACGTGATACTACAGAAAACTAACTTGATTTTTAATCATCTGACAAATGACTAAACCGTGCTGATTGAATGAAATGAATTGAAATATAACCTTTTATTTGTCTTCTCTATTCATGTTAAGGTATCTTTATATTGATCGTGTTGACGCAGAAATCTTTGTGTTACAGTCTGTATCCACTGCTTTTGCTCAGAAATAAACGAATAAATAAGATATGTGTCAAAGGTGAGAACATTTTATTTTTTTTCTCCTTCAGTTGTACAGTTAATTGCGTACATTTTGCATTAGTCGATGGTTTCAATCAACCACGTGACTGGCTAATTTTTTTTCAAAATAAGAGTCGTAAGAGAGTTGTGCAACATATTCATGATAAAATTTCCTTATCAGAAAAATGAATGCAAACGTAAAGTCAATGATGGAGACACTTAGAAAAAGCACACGCTTTCATAAATTTTATTTATCCGGTCTCAGTTGACTGTGTGGGTGTGAAGGATGAGCATAGATATGGATGGGAGGTTGGTTGCGTGTAGGTATACGGGTCGACGATATAAATATTGACACTCACGGTCATATCCACATCCACATCCACATCCACACCCCACTCTTGTGTAAAACAGCTTCAAGGTACGACTAATGTTGCTTTCGTGATATGAAGAGATAGCAAGCACCATGTATTTAGGACTGACTAAAATTTCTGATCTTGGCGTTTAAAATTTTATCAAATAGTTAATATCGAAAGTTTTATTTTATGAATATATATAGTGGAAAGCCTTGCCTATAATAATGTATATAAAAACTATATCTTCGATCTAATTCTGACATGCGTATAAAGGTGGATGTGTGGTGTGATGTATCAGGTCTGATTGTGGACTAGGAAAAGAGCCATATCCCACACCCTACATAAGAGCATAGTGTTGATGGTTCATCATGCAAGAATAACAGTTATTGAGCTCAAATCATCTAGTTAAGTGGCTATTAAAAGCAAGAAGAATCTTAAGACAATGTTAGTAAGCCAGATAATGATAGCCTTTTTTTCAAATAAAAAGTGCAGAAATTTGAACCTGTATTGTGAATATCTTGAGTGAAGATACCAAACGTAACTACAATTGCTTGGTTTACTCTCTTCTTGCCTACAATTTTCTTTCATATAAACACTCAGTCTTATCTGCTTTCATATCTTATTGCGTACCCTGAAAATTTATCATAGGGTGCTTTAAACTGTTGATATAGATAGATATTGACCAAACTGATTATTCGACTGGCCATTTGCTAATTCTTCATAGAGACGAAATAACTGTAGACAAAAAAAAAAACTATATTTTCTTAGCGTTTAAAAATGAAAATTTTATTAACTCTGTTGACACTTCTGATTGTATCAACAGTCGATGGCCACCAGTGTCGGGCTAAGTTCAACGAAGATATGTTTGGTGAATGCTCATTTGTTAATGGTTGTAATGGAACGATTTTAGCTGGAAATGTATGTGAAGAGCAACATTGTTGTATTCGAACTGTCATACCAGCTTCACAGACATGTATTAGTGTTAATGACTTCGACATTCTCTATAATACAAGTCGCGCAAGCTTTCTTCGCAATGTTCTTAACTTCGGAATCAATGCGGCTGGAATCTGTGACAATTGTCAAGCAAAAGCAGCATTCTTGGCAGTAGCAGCGACGATGACACAGAATTTTCAAACTGACGAAGCAACGGGTACTGATGCCGAATTTGCTGCCGACAACAACAAGTACGGAAACACAGAGGAAGGTGAAGGATCTTTTTATCGTCGACGCGGTTTTTTTGGTCTTCGTGGAAAAGTAATGTATCAAAGGTTACAAACATTGAAACCACAATTTCAAAGTCTAACTAATCCAGAATTAGCAGCTTTAGTAGAAAACTCCATCATAATTGCTTCAGAACTCTGGAAAAATCCGAATTTATTGAACGGTAAGTTTATGTGTAAGCACCTCAATATGGAGTTCATCTAAAATTTGATCATTATGGTAGTTCATAACAGAGTTGTTTCCCGAGAAAGTTGATAATAGTAGATTTGAAGGCCACAGTTTAGATACGATTGAAATCCTTTTTTCAGAAGTGGTGGGTGTCTCGATAGGAGTCAAGCAAGGATCCTTACCTACATTCACTCACTCTGAATGTTTTAAACTTGATTAGCTTATTATGATTGATTCATAAATTGTAATCGATTACAATGCCGTGAAAAATCGAGAAATTCATCATAACGATTGAAAAGTTCAATTTGAGATTTCATGAAAAGTTGAGACGGTAAGAAAAAACTTAATGGTATTGATTAACTTTTGGACACTGGCAAGTGTTATGCTTGCAAATGAAAGTAGCAAATAAGAACAAAATTGATTCGATCTCTTTTTTTGCTGTCAAATGTGTATTGATGAATAGAAAAAGTATCCATACAATAGACGAGAGTGAATTATCCTTAATGTTTCATATCAACCTGTTTGATTTTCAATATTCATATCATTCTTCCGAAGAAACTCAAATTAGTATCTATAAGATGTACATGGTCTCGTAGGCCACTCATATAAGCAACTCTTCAACTGGACCTATTCTAGACTTAACTATTCTCGAAGTATACCTAACATATCAAATACTGAGTGAAGGAAACTCGGTACTAACCTCATTCTTAACTTACTGAATAATATTAGTGAAAAAGAATCGATAAGCTGTTTGATTATTTCATGAATTACATCTGGTTCTTTTTCTTTCTATGAAACGATAGAAACGGCTTTGACATCTTATGCTGATGGCACATTTTGGGGGTTTTCCATATTGTCGTAAGTGTAGTTGACGAGTGATATGGTCAACTTTGACACCTATTCATTTTACAATTATTGATATTTCTTTAAGGTACAAATTAAATGCAGATATGAAACAGTTCTCCAATGCCACTAAATATTATTCAAAATTTCTACGTCAACTAGAATGTGGTGGTGATCTGTATCCAGGACAAGGTCCTAGTTGTGTTTTTAATGAGACTCATAATGGTTCATGTTCGGCAGATTGTATCACAGGACTCGAAGATTCAGGTGCATACTGCGGTTGCAGTGGTGAAAGAGGTCTACAATGTCCAAACAGTCCAAAACATGTTCGATGCTGCGTGGACACATGTTCACAAGAACTCAAAATGGATTTGGGCTTTCTTCTTGATGCTAGTCGTAGTGTGCTTTTAGAGAATTATAAACTTCAGCAAAAGTTTACGAAAGATTTACTTCGTCGAGTGAACGTTGGATATCAGAAAACACATGTTGGTATAATAAATTATTCTAATAAAATCGAGGTCTTATCATGGCTGAATAAAGACTATGAGCTTAATGAGAAACTTCAACGAGTCGATAGTGCAACATACTTTAATAGTGGGACGGATACGGCTCTAGCTCTAAAACAAGCAAATATTGTTTTTTCGTATGAAAATGGTCGTCGACAACCGGAAGAAGGTGCAACGCCAGTGATATTTGTAATCACCGATGGAGAAAGCAATAATCAAACAGCAACCGTCCAAACTGCTAGTGTTTTAAAAAAAAACGAAATTATTTTAGTAAGTGTGGGAGTCGGCTCTGGGCCGAGCTTAACCGAATTGCACGCAATTTGTACACCACCAGCAAGTGAAAACTATTTTGCCATATCCAATTATCAAGCTCTTGACAAAAGACTCAATCAATTTATGTCTAGATCATGTTCAGAACCGGCTCCCATTTCATCTAATACGGCTATTACCATTGAAATATCCAAGGATAAATATAAATTTTTAAAAGTTCAAATTATTACGATTGGTAACAAAATGTTGGTTACTGCAACACTGTTCAACGGCGATATAAAACTGTTTTATTCATTTAAAACTCGAAACCCGAAAGATCCAGCTGAGTTTATTGATTATCAAGCAAGCACACCTGATTCTAATCTATCACTTTGGATGCGGCTAAAATCTTTCTTTCACCAATCATTTAAAGAAAAAAACATGGCCAAAAATAGTCGCGTAACTTTAGTTATCGATAAACCAGATAGTGAGGTGGATTTTGTCTATCTTGGTGTGAAAGGAGTCGAAAAAAATAACATATTTGAATTGAAATTTGAAGATTGTGACAACGTTAATTGTAATTCAAATGCATCGACCAAGCAACGAAGTCTTTTGCTAATCATTCTTTTTAGCTTCTTTCTTCGTTGAAAGACTATTGCGAAAATATTATCTCTTTTGATTTTCCTCCAGTGTGTTTATCGTAAAATCAATTGTCTTGGCTTCGAAGGAAATCTTTTGAACTAAACAAGAGTAATGAAATCATGCACTAGAATAAGACTCGATGTTGAATAATCAACTTTCTTCTAAGACTCATCAGTAGACTTCAAATTGATAATCAGTATGTGTGTTACTATTATTCATCTATTCAATATGACAAAAAATGGTCATAAATCTGGCAATAATGATCGTAACTATGGTAAAAATAACCATAGGATGTGAGTGTATATGTGGGCGTAGGATGTCGGTGTGGATGAAGTGAAGAACCCCGCCCACAACCACTTGCAAAACCCATCCCCATCCACACTCTAAATTGTCGATATTTATGAATAGCACAATATATCGGCAGTAGTGTGACACGGGTGTACAACATCGCAATAGAAAAACATAGAATGTCTGTTTATAACAACAATTATTATTCATCTGAAGCAACACAAAAATTGGAGTATGAAAAGAAAACGAACAACTTGCTCATACATTTCTAGATCTCAACAAATACTAAATATTTAAAATTATGCAATCGTGTTCGTGATGGATTCGTCTTATTAATGATAATAGAACACTGCCTAACAAGGATTTTATAATAATGTATATCACAATCCGAAACTTTATGCTCATGTCTTATTTGTTTTCTATTTGTCATTTAAAAAATGAAAATATAAAACACCAAAATTACGTTGATGTATTTTATATGATGAACTTAATATTTCTCTGAAACGAAATACTTTTATGTAATTCATTCTGTTTAGCTTCGACGTGGTCTTGACGTCGATGGAAGTGAATATAAAAAGAAAAATTATGGCTCTACCAATAAAAGTATGACTGAATTAATTTCTTCAATTCATTTATAAACATGACCAATGAAGAAATCTTCATATTGAAATACATTGTGTATAATTTGCATAAATTTTTCTTTACTTAGTATGATAATAGATTTAGGCATTTGAAAATCTTGATCATTAACGTTCTAAAGCAAGACTTTTTATTTGAATGATAAAATTCATTTATATTTATAGTTATAAGATAAAAAGTCAATGCTAAGATGTATATTATCGATTTATATTCACCAAACTTATTCACATATTGCTCTCGATTACAATATTGAACATGTTTCATTATAAAGTTCTAATCAAGAAATAAAAAGTTGATGCGTTGATTGATTTGTATATTAAAATGTGATCTACCACTTCGTTTGTGTTGAACTGCTAGCATCGATTAATGTAATTGCAATACTTAGATATTCTAACTAGAATAAAATTAACAATTTCGTAGCCGTCCTGAAATGTGAACATTTCTTTTCAGCAATGATTAAAGAATACACCTGCATTTCCACTCTATTATACATCAATGAAAAATAGAGATATAATATTAGCAATTCATAATTAGGTTATAGTAAGAATTCAAAAATAAATATCAATAGAATAAATCATTTTTTTCTTACTTCCTATGACTTTTGTTCAGAATTAATGGCAACAATCATTCTATATGATACATGATGAGTATAAAGCGTTGATAAATAAATCCATGGTATGTGTTGACCCTGATACTTTTTTTCCTTTCTGATGGTATTGACTTAAAAAATTGAATATTTTTAGTACTATTTCGTTTGTTGAATAGCTTGCTTCGTCTTCGATCAAGTCCTGACAACTAATGACTTAAACAAAGCAAGTCTGCGTCTTTTTAATCAGTCAGATTTTCAGAAATACTTTCTATTGTGCTCCGAATTGTTAAAATTCCTTCATAGCAATAATTGAAATTCAAAAACGCATTCAGCGTTAAAGTAATAAGATTTGCTTAAAGCTTGCAAAAAGAGTTTTAGATAGAACAAATGTTGAGAATAATCAAATATATGATTCTTATGTTTTTTCATCAAGGCATATTATTCGATGATTATCTTTTTTTTTATTGGACGTAGTTTTCAATTATTTTTCCCAAAAAGAACACAGTACCATTGGACGAATAATTGATAGAAAACAAGGTTTCGTTACTATATTACTTCAAATGATATAAAAACTCAATATTTTTCAAAAAAAGTTTCCTGAAAAATATGGAATAGGGAGCTCCATGTATATTTCGTCAAAAACATTTTCTTCTTAAATATGGTTTTCTCAGCGATATATTATCATTTCTGAACAAAATAAAACCGTTTTCGCACAATTAACTTGCATTGTAAGTAATGAGTGTGGATGTGCGTTTGGTACGAGGTGAAAGTGTTTACTAGTGTTCACTCTTTACCTACACACTCACACTCACGTGAATGTTCACAGTCCATCCACAGGCAAAATTGAAGAGACTAAATATAAATAATGAAGACAGTCATTCAACAAAGCAACATTTCATGCGCAATCAAAAGGAACTTTAATAGAAGATAAATCGGTGAAGAATGTCGGAAACTCTTAACAATCCAATCAACTTCAATCTAGTGCTTCGAATAAATCGATTTATTTATTTTTCATAATATTTCAATTAATTGCAAGCAAGAAAAAAAAAGAAGAATAAGTTTTACTGACGAAACGCGAACTATTATCGTGTTTCTAACATTTCATTGTTCGATTACTGTCGACCGTATCGTGGATTGCTATATGGTGCAGTATAATTTCGATAGCCATCGGATGATTGATAGAAAGTTGATCCATTACTATTTTGATAGTAATAAGAACCATCCTGATTGCTGTAATGATACGAACCTATAAAACAATAAAATGCGTACACAAATCATGAAAGCAACTATAGCTATTGATTAGTTAGCCACTCATGAATATTTTGACTATATAATACATCGAAATTCTCTTTGAGAAATCTTTCGATACAATATACCTCCTTGTGCGGCTCCTTCCCCTCGATGATCGTATCGATTACCATATTGGTTTACGCCTCGTTGCCAGTTTTGCGAATTTTGATTTGATGACATGTCGGATATTAGATTGTTTCTCTTATGAAGTTTGTTGACTGAAAAGCAAAGTGAAAAACAATTAATGAGTATATACTACTCTGGCGCCTGTTTGTGTAGATAAGGGCACCTATTTCATTATCTTCGCTAGCCTTGATGTCTACATAAACAAAGATTAGAATTCAGTGAAAAATGCTGTTTATCTTTCGATGTTATAGATAATGTTTTTATTCGCTTAGAATGTTCTCATTTTTATGCGCAGTTGGTCATTTCTTGCCTATCTGATTACATAAAATTTACCGAGTCAATCCATTGAGTAAACTAAAAAAATATGCATATTTTCTGTAATATATTTGTGGTATCATGAATTCTTTTGATGATGAACGATAAATCATGGACATATGAGTTAGTCATTAGTTTAAAAGTTTTTTTTAAGTCGTGAATTTTTAATCAAAATCAGAATATATCAACGAGTGAGCTGACCATTTTCTATGGATATGTCCAAAAATAAATTTTTTTCTTTGCTTAAAGTCAAGTGAAGCTTGCATCACTCTACTTTCAATAGTATATATTTATTGGTTTACATGAGATTTATTTGAAAGAGTTCAATCTGAAGCTTATCGCAAAATTGATTTGCTGACGAACTTGTTTGTCATGACCATTGGCCATGATACGTCTTAAGATACTCATTTATTCTTTCTAACTTGTGTAATTGTGTAGGCTGCTTTGTCTTGTGATGCATTCTGTTTCATGTGCTTTCTGTCTTATGATACATTCTGATTCTGATTATTCTTTTGTTTTTTTGTTCCTTTTCTTTCCCTTTTGGAATGTGTATATTTCTTTCGATATATATACATATGTTTTGTGCGTGTAAGAGGGCTCTCGATTCTGCATGTAAAAAAGATGAATAAAGAAAAGGCCTAACATTGTTCAAGAAAAAAAATCGATTTTAATGCTATTTTTAGACTTAGAAGTCAGACAAGATGACTTCAATCATTGTTGTTATGTTATGATGTCCTCGATAATTGAGTTTTTGGAAAATTCCAGGCAAGCAATTCAAATATTATTGTTCACCTTCGAATTTTTATATAAGGCAACTCTCAAAGCTACTTTTTTCCAAGAACTGATAAAAATGCTGAATGTGTTCTTACAATTGATAGAGGATGTGCATGCAGTTTCAAGTATCAGTTTTCTTTGCACAACCACCCACACTCTACTCTTTGGTTACTTCAATGACGAAGCTGTGAAAGTAATAACGAAAAGTGTTTAACGAAAATAGAGAAAATATCATTTTTCATCTCATTGACAGATACATTTGTCAAAGTTATCGTGCAAACTAGGGTAATTATCATTTTCAATCTGTTTTTCAGTTGAAGATAAAAATGTGCTGACAACTATGTCACGGCAACTTCAATAGCCTTTGTTCGATCTACATACCTTTCTATAAGTGATGTGCGAACACAAACCTAGAGAATACTATGAAGACGATTTCCATTTGGCATGCAGAAAATTTAGAAAAACGAGAGCTAAAATGTTGATTCAATGTACAATTAATTTGATTGAATTCATCGGATTCAATATGAAAAACACATTTTTCAACAGTAATTAAGTTCTATCTGTTCAGAATATCAAGAAAACTATCAAACCATTTAAAGCTATCTGTAAACGTAGATAGTTTTGGTATCAGCGATCAGTAAACAAGAGAGAAATAAAGCATTGACCTAACAACTGTGTTCATCGACAAAATAAAAAAAAAATACATTACATTTCACTATCTTTATGCAAGTTAGGATGTCCGCTTACCTCTCTCCCTCTCTCGTGAGAAGAGTGTATATAGTTAACTATATGACGCTTTGGATGAGTGAATAATATATCTCTTTATTGAAAAAACACGAAGTATATATAGGAAGAGAAGATTGGTCTAGTCAGGGAAGAAGTTGAGAGTTTCTTCGTCTGATTGAAAATGAACAACAAGTAGAGTTACAACAAAAGACGTCAGTGAAGAAGAATAGGTCAGACGAGTAAGAACATATAGTAACAAAAAAGAAATATAAAATCATCCATATATCCTAACAATGCATTCGTTCGTATCAAAAAGTACTAAATAGTAATTCATTCATGCATCAACATAAACTTTTTTTTTCTGTCTCATTACTGCACAGACAGGACTAATTCAGGGAACAGAGATCGAGTTGTCATAAGCACTTTTCGATGCAAGGATTTCTAGCTGAGAATTATGGTAAAAAGTATTTTCAAAACCTTCACTACCTGAATAATCCGTTAATAAATATATCACGATCTGTACTTCGATCACAGCTGATCAACGATTTTTCAATCTAGAGATAAATATCATTTTATCATAGAAATTCATCTCCTAAGAAAAGTGATTGTAGAAACTTGATACGCCTCCACTGTGTTCGCTGTATCTGCGCACTAATACTGGACTAATGGACTAAAATAATATTCTTTTCATGACAAATGGCAATGATTCATAAAAAATAGTAAATCTACTAGAAATATCATGACTTCTTTTGTTCTTGTTCATCATTCATTTGTGTGGGATGTAGTGCATATCTATGTATTTATAGATTAATATACAATATAAATAGGATACACAGTTTTTTTTTTCTCATTCTGTTCTGATTCAATTAACACACCATTTCTATTACGTTGATATTTTATCAATACGTAAGTAATGCATCATATCACAGGTAAACATCGATGAGAAACAATGGATTTTTTAAACTTGTTTTAGAATGAATTCTCGATTGATTTTCATAATATTGATGATCAGCATGGTTCTGCTTTTAACATATGCTGATAAATGTCTTAAATTAGAAGAGTCATGCTTTAATACGACTTTAACATGTTGTGACGAATCCCATTGTGGTGTGGGTGGTATTGTTCATGCAACACCACAACCAGATGATACATGCGTTTCAAACCTGATTAAAGGTTAGA